GGCCTTCACAATCACTGGAGCTCCTCCAACATTCCCCCCACCCCCCACCCCCCACCCCGGTGGCAACTCAAACAAACCTGGGGACTGACTGTGACTCAGCCATTCCTCTCATGTCTGCCCGTCTGGCTGCCTTAACAACACCTATGGCGAGCATTTTTACAGTAAATATCACCGTCTATTCGCACTTGGAGAAATGTATTCATCAATGATTGTACTGTATGCATTGATGTATATGAGGTCTGTTCTCTTTGTGGTAATTGATGGCTGTGATTCATGATTTTACACCATACTTTTGATAATAATAATAACTGTCTCAAAAACTCTCCTTCAGTCACACATTCACTATTCCCCACATAATACACACTCAATAGTTTACAGTACTCTATAATGAGAAGTAATACTGCCTGACTGTAATATATGTATTGGTCGAATGAGACTCATAGCATGGACTGTTTATAGTTTGAGGGTGCTATAGAGTGTGATTTCAGACACACTAAGAATCTGTAGGACCGTGCTAGCTGCTCTGTGAGGCAGCCAGCACATCAGCACTTTGAGCTAAATGCTAACATAAACATAGCAACATGCTTGCAACAACATTACATGCTGTTGCCGGTACATGGTGAGGGTTTTACACGTATTTATTTAGTCATAAACCATTAATAAGACCAACTTTGTCCAATTTTGACCTGATGATGGGCACTGGGTGAAAAGTTAGAGGGTTAACCAAAGCCAGTAGGGTTTCCTCCTTTTTGGACCATGAATGCTTTCATAAATTTCATGGCAATTCATAAATATTTATTAAGGTATTTCAGGCTGAGCCAAGGTGGTTGACCAACTGACCGACATTGCAATCCCTAAAGCCACGCTGCCAGCATGACTAAAAATAAGATGCACAGAAGCCACAGAGGAAAAAAGTATGTAGGTCTAAATGAAAACTGAGAATGAGCAGGTATTTGGGAAAGAAAAAAAGCATTTTTATTTAAAGTTAAAGTTAAAAAGTCAACAACCCAGAGCCATTCTGCCATTCTGTCTTCTGTTTCGTTATGAGCCAGCAGACATAAATAAATCCCCCGTCTCACCGCTTGACTCATAGTTATGAGATGTGAACTCAGAGGCAACCTTTTTAATCAATGTCATGTTTTGTGTTAACAGATGTTAGATAAGTTTGATACAATAATACCTGAGCTGATACTTCTTTCATAGAAATGAATGTTATCGCATGAATCATCATCATCTCGCCTCTCCTAAAAATACATGATCATGTGGTCACTGCCCAAATATTTTGGGCAAAAGGGTGATTAAGTGGTTTTGTAAGTTATCAGACACTTACCAGGAAGTGAGAGAGGGCCACAAACAGGAAGGAGCGGAATGTGCTTCCTGTTGGCCAGCGGTGTTATACAGGGCAGATTCTTTGTACCATCACAACTGACACACACACACACACACACACACACACACACACACACACACACACACACACACATGCATACTAAGAGGCAGGAATGTTTTTCCACTGAAATCAGGCAGAAGCAGACTGTCAGGAAAGACAAACAGTAAGAGTAGATAACATTGAGACAGTGTGTCCCTGTGCATTGCTACAAATGAGAGAGCATGAATCCAACTTCAGAGGAGACCATTATTATGGCCAGTTCACTTTTAAAGCTCATAAAAGTGTCCACAAGTGTCTTTGACGTTATAAATGAGAAATTCTTCTTACTGTCTTGCCTGGTAAAATAAAGCTTGAATAAAAATAAAAATAAATAAAACTCATATATTCTCTTTAAATTAATTTCTCCTCAGAACTCACCAAGAGATAATATAATCATCAAGTCCCCCATAAAATACTATTAATCTAATATTCAATTTCAACCACTTCAATGTGACAGAAAATGACTACATTGTTATCAAAGTCATGCAGAAACACAGCAGACTGATTGAGTCCATATTTAATCTTCATTAATTGATTTTATGGCCACTTGAGGGCAGCAGAAACAAGCTGTGAACTCAACACTGACACATTAAAAAACGGATATATGATTGATTCCTGATTCAAACACTTTTACCATCAGTGTTACAGAGGAGTAAGATTTCCCAAAAACATGTACGGCGAATTATTCCTGTATGTATATGTTCAGCAGTGGAGGTATTCAGATCTGTTACTTGAGTAAAAGGAGTAACACTACAATGTAAAAATACTGCATTTAAAACCTTATTCAGGCAAAAATACATCCAACGTATTATCATCAAAATATATTGATTAAAAGAATACATTGTGCAACAAAATGCACAGTCAGTGTTTCAATACCACATTTTATTTTTAGATAAATTTTACTGACTCATAACAAGGAAAAAACTGGCAGATGCTCCTAAATGGACTGGAATTTTTTTTTATCTAAAGATAATCTAATGCAGAAATGTGTGAGCAGCAATTTAATGTTGTAATTGGTTTAAGCGGAACAAATATGAAATATTTGATATACCGTTAGGCAGTTTAATATTAAACCATTCATCATATTTTATTAGCTGGTCATATAATTTTCCATGTAAAATCTTAGTCTGCAGAAGGAACTATTGTACTGTAGATAAATGTAGCACAGTATCTGCCTCAGAAATGAGTGAAGAATATGTTTATGAACTGTCGGTGTGTCCTGCTGATGTTACGGACGCTTATCACAGAAGTGAAAGCGAGGAACTGAGCGAGTCGAGGGCTGCTGGTCATAGAACAGCATGCCTGTGTATATGAAATTAACATTGGTTGTCCTTGAGGGCTTCCTGATTGAATCACACAGGCTCGATGACGTCATGCGAGGTTTAAGTCATATTTCAGATTAGGGAGGGTGAGAGCGGGAGAGAGAGAGAGTGAGAGAGAGGGGGGGAGGATGAGTCACTGCCTCATTGATGACTGTCTCCACTGAGTGGTCAGATAATTCAGGTACAAAAAGAGACACAGGCACAGCACGACCGCCTAATGGCACTCAAATAAAATGACTTATTGAGAACTTGCAAAATACACCTTTTAGGAAGATTAAATAGTATTGATACCCACTCCTCCCCCTCCCCCTGAGGGTGGTGCTAAACAATGATGAATCCCGCTCTTCTGTATTATATCTATGACCAAGGATTTGAATAACTAATTAATATGCGTGCTGCCATCAGACTGTGGGCTCAGTGTTGGCTGTGTTAGAGTACCGAACCATTCAGGAAAAATGATCTGATGTGCACCTGATCCATCTAAGACCTCAATATATTTGAGAGCCTATTACTTTGATTCAGGTTAATAACTCGCTCTATAAAGGTTTTGGGTCTGTGACTGAAAACAACATTTATTTATAGTTCCTTCTGTTGGGAGGGGTTTACTGGTTCAGATATTATTGAAGTTCTGTATTCATGGATTGATTACTGGACGAGCCGACTGGGCACAGGCCCGGGGGCCCAAAGGGGTCAAGGGTCCTCTAGCCCCGAACCTCTATTTGAAGTGACTCAACATTTCTTGTTGAAAAGACAATCAAATGACTACAAACAGACAGAAAACAAGTAAAAAAGCAACATGGCCATAAAGAGACATGAAAATAACTAGATTATAACTTGAAGGATTACATACAATTTTCTTTGTCATACAAAATATGACAATCTTAATTTATGGTTCACTTGCTGTAGCTTTTACCTTGAGTTAAGAGGTTTTTTTTGTCCAACGATTGTTTTCAGTGTCAAGGATGAACTCTCACATTGATAATAAATAATATTTTGTATTCAGACACAGGTATATGTCTGATCTTTTACCAGGGGGATTATCACCGCAGTATCAGCACGAGTAAACAGCAAATAAGCCTCCATGTTGGCCAGAAACACTTGAGCTCAACTGAAGTGTAATTGGTAACTATGATTAAGGATTCATTCAAGAATGTAATTCATAACAGTGAATTACTTTAAATGATCCTATCAGGGAACTTTCATGCTCCACTGGCAGACAGGTCAGAGGTCAGAGTCAACAACACTACAGCAGACCTGGAGCAGGAAGGTCTTTCTCAAGGGCCCTTCAGTAGGGCGGCTATTTGCTGACACAGGTGCATGACCACGACTCCCTCAGCTGAAAGTCAGTTCCCACATTACTGCAACACCCTGCTGCCCACAGTGACAGCCACCATACTCCAAATATCTGACATAAGACTTTCCTCTTGTCATATATCATGTATCATTCATTCATTATAAGTATAACATTAGTGTTATTACTCAGACTGTAACACTTTACTTCAAGTCCCCCTTTTTAGCATGTATAAGCAGTATACAAACATTTAATAAATGTAAATAATTATTTCTACGACTCCTATGAAGGCATACAGTATTTTATATCATTACAATGTGTCATTCATTATCAGGAGTTACAGCCCAGTTGTTGATAAACATTAATAAACACTTCTGCTTACAACACCGTAGTGTGTTATAAACCATTTATTCAGTGTTTATATTGTGCTTAGTCATGCTAAGGACCTAAAGTAAAGTATTACCCAACTGACTTACTGTACAGCAAGAGCCTTGACATTCAAAAGTTTGCCATTATTGTTAATACGGCTGCAACTACATCAACAACTATTTTCATTATGCAGATTTATTTCTCAATTAATCAATTAATAATTTGGTCTATAAAACACAATACAAAAATGGTCACCACAATTTACAAGGGATGGGGAACAAATTCTTACATTTGAGAACCTGAAACCATCAAATAATTGGATATTGAAAGTGATTCAAAAGATTAATCGATCATCAAAACAGCTGATTAAAATTTGATCGATCAACTAATCACTTAATTCAACCGTTTGCAGCTCTAATAGTGAACCTGATGAAATACAAACACTAACCTGCTCATGCTCCTGACAGAGACATTAGATATGACAACTATTGCTCCTTTTCTTTTCACATTTTCAAAATGATTATGAAATATACTTCTGACAAATTTAGAGGTGTTTTCTTAAGCAACAACAATCTTTCTCAGAAATTGATCATTTGCAAAAAACATTTATTTGTAACAACGTCTCGATCATATTTTACAAACAGAATACAAAACTAACTCAAAAGAACATTTAAAGTGCAACGTTTCATTCGTCTCACTTAAAGAATTAAATGAGAAAAGATAAAACTTGTCAACTTGAGCACCAGAGCAGCATTAACCTCTTTCTGCATCTCGCCAAAGAAGACCATCTACATAAAGTCTCATGCTGTGGAGCAGAAATGGGCAACATATTGATAAACCGTGATGTAAAGGTAAAATATCATGTACCATAAAGTGTTATATCTTTCTTAACTAATTACGACTGTTACAACTGAAAGAAATAATCACCTTAGCATCACATCATTTTGGCAAGAAATCTTCTGATATTTGATCCTCTCAATAGTATCACTTGACTCTGGTGTTTGAAACACGGGCTTAGGGCTCCCTCTTGTGCTGAAAGAGAGGCATTGCTTGTCAGGGTTTGATATCTGAATGGAGTCACCGAGGGCAGTACGATGGGCTGAACAACACAGACAGAAATTGAAAACAGCTGTCCAACCGCACTGTTCAGCAACAAAATAACAAGTTTTATGAACTATCTTACAGAGTGTGAAAACAGAGCTCACTTGGAACAACAAATGAGCCTCATTGCAGTGCTTCTTATTCCAAATAAACAAGTCTCAGGTGTTCAAACATCAAAAGTGAATGAAATCACATCCTGACACCTGATCAGCGCCTCCTTTTGTACCCCGATGGGAGTGTGCAGGTCCGACACCTGAAAGTTCAGCACGTCGATGTCAGACGCTCCAAATGTGGCGTCCACCTTCACCTTCTCGTGCATGCGAAACTGGACCTTCTTGTTGCTGATGGAGAGGAGGCATCGGAGGAAAGTCTCTCGCAGCACGGATCGAGCGTGCTGCTCTTCCTGCAGCTGCTCAGCGTCCGACTCTGACCCGGCAGAAGTGGGAATGGAGGTGCGACAGAGGGCGATGAAGCGGGGCGATTTGGGGTCAAATCCACGGCTGTTGGGGTCGGGTCCTTTTGGCAGGCGGAGCACAGACACCGGCGTTGTCATGGTAACTCTTTCTGCCAATACATGTTAAAGAAGAACAACAACCGTTAATACCAGCTGGACAATATAATACTATGAAGAACAACTTTCTGTAAAAGGTTTAAATTATAAACTACAAAATAAGAATTTTGTTTTCTGTGAATCAGTTACAAACAATTAATAAACTATAATTCCTCAAAATGTATTATAATCTCAGAATAAAAACAGATGCTCCCAAAAAGACACTTAATTAAGTACAATTAAGAAGTTTTGACATTATTAAGATGTAGCTGAACATCTTTCTTAGTAAGGTGAAGCTTATTATAATAATTACATTTACACAGTTAATATAAATATTATCTAAATTGCAAGATGCAAATTGCAGAAGCTGCAATTCATTTTGATAAAAGGTCAAATGTGTGACAAAACAGCATTATGATGAAGTACTTTCACATCATCGTGGTTTTAATAGGTTTAACAGTGAGAATTAAATTTGTGATGCAAAAATGATAATTCCCACACTAATTGTGAATCATATCGCAATCACTATATCTGTCAAAATAATCGCAATATAATGTTTTTACCATATCGTGCAGACTATATATTCAATGAAGATGTAGTGTGGAAACGTCCTCAATGTACCTAATAAATTGTCTATTCACTGTCACCTTTTCCTTTCCTTGATGAACAAACACCACCTTGAAGCAAACATTTCATTGATTAGTCGATTTAACAATTTGAATCATCAATTAATTGTTTAAGTAACTTATCAAGTTAAATTCAAATGAGGTTCCAGCTTCTCCCACGTCAGGATTTTCTGTTTTGTATCATAAGATGTTTACTTGTAAATTATAGGTAATCTCTACAAACAGTACTGATACAAACACGTTTAAAAGCATCAGAAAACATCGAAAACCAAGATTTAACCTCAATACATTAATGCGTGTAAAGACTTTTGTGCCCTGCAGCAACAGCTTCGTGTAGGGTTTGAGTTACAATAAGCTTCATGTTATTTCCTCAGCTGTAGCTTGAACTTCTGTACTGCTGTTTGACCTTTAAGTGAACTTATATCACACACACGTTTCATTCATGTTGAAAGACGGTTGACTTTGCAGGTTAAAAACTTGATGAGACCGCGTTGCTAGGGCTCAGATAACTGATAAAAGCTGGTATAACGTTAATTTAAACACAATATAACCACAAAACACGCTTTCTTCATCACAGCAGTATCATTAAAGATGCATTAAAGTTTCATTAAACTCCCTTATTGTGTATTTATTCACTTACTGACTGTTCCCTCCAGTTCACAACATCAGCTGTAGTACGCAGGCGCGAAGTCTCCTTCTTCTTCCTCCTCCTCCTCCTCCTCTTCTTCTTGTTTTACGGCGGTTGGCATCCCGCTTTTTGGTGCATTACCGCCACCTTCTGCTCCGGAGTGTGAATCAAAAATAGACTTACAAACCGAAATTCCCCAGTATATATAAATAAATAAATAAATAAATAAACAAATAAATAAATGTACCCCACATACACACATGCAACCTGACCTATACTTTTGTCCTCTGCACTTTACCCCCTCATATAATACCCTTTCAGTTACCATCCTTTCCATTATCTTGCCTATATTTGATGTATATGCTATTGGCCTGTAACTAGTTGGTTTAAATGGATCCTTGCCAGGTTTCCTTATCTGAATCACTACTGCTTCTTTCCATGCACTCTTTTATACAGCTGCAGTAATTGTGAGGGTATTCCTTCTCGTAGTAGACAAGTAATATCAAATGTTCTGTGAGTTAATGACATGTTTGGGATTGAATGAGTAGATAGGGGGGGCGGGGTGCGAGCCTGAGGTGAGTGCGAAGGACACAGAGAGTTACCTAACTTTATGTTTTGGTTGTTTTTGGCGTGGTTACAGCCGACAGTAACCTGTACTGTTCCAGCAATAAATGTTGGGTTGCTGAATAACACTTTGTCATCTTTTCAACACGTACTGGCGGAAGAATCAGAATCAGAATCAGAAATACTTTAATAATCCCAGGGGGAAATTATTTTCGTTACAACACTCCAGATATACAGACGACATATTATACAAACAACATATATATATACACAACATTCAGCACAACTATATAATTATAAATATATACAATGTAAAGTATTAATGTGCAAAAAGTGCAAAAGAATGATTGTCTATGTTTTGAGTCAGAATTACAGAGGGGGGGTGTCTGACTCTCTGAGGGAGGCGTTGTAAAGATTGATGACCACAGGCTGGAATGATTTCCTGTGGTGCTCTGTGGTGCATCTGGGTGAGAGGAGTCTTCTGCTGAAGGTGCTCCTCTGCTGGGCCAGTGTGTCGTAGAGAGCAATATGAGCTGATCTGTGTAAAACAAATAAATGTATCCAGTGAATGTAATGCGCTTCCGTAGCTTTAGCATGACACAGCATATTTGATTTTATTTCCCCTGGAGAGGTTGGTCTTGATTTATTGAATGTTCTTATTATTTCAGTCAAAGAAAAAAAAAGTTTTTCCATTACTGACGACACTCCTCTGTCCACCATGGTACAAGTTTTCTGTTCCTCCTATTTTTTACTCCTGGGTATAGATTCATCTGCTGCCATAATAATTGAGTTCATCTGACTGTTTATTTCTCCAAAGGTGTCAAACCTTGTTGTTGTTCCCTCACTCAATATCTGGAATTTATCCCAGTCAGATTTTAGATTTTAGGATTACACCACCTGGTCTCATTTCCACTCTTTCTCCCACTGAACATGAGACTGGATAGTGATCACTGTTGAAACTGACCCAACATCCCAGTTACTAATTCCAGCCAAGGGACTATAGACACTAGTTTTATATCTAAGGCTGATTCAGTACTTGTTGTAATGTTTACCCAATCAACGCTGTTTCACTATCTCTTTTCACTCCTTCTTCTGTCATTTTCAGTCTTTGTACATTCATTATTTTACCTCCTTTGACATTTCTCTTTAGCTCCTTCATGCCCACACGCATTGGCACCTCAGTAATCATTCCTTTACATCTTCCATCATTTTGTGCTCCAACTCTTCCTGTGTTTTCCACCCTATTTTTTCCTATTTCTTTAGTGCTTTATATTATACAGACGTCTTCTTCTTTAATAGCCCAGTGTGTAGGATTGTAGGTGTGTCTGTCAATAAAAACGACTCATTCTAAAGTAACAAAAAGATTATTATTATTTTCCATTATACACTAATGAAAACATGCCTATGTTATCTGATATCTGAATACTAATTAAGTTGCCCTGCACCAAGTACAGTTTGGCTTCAGATCATATCATTTTTAATCAATCAAATTAATAAAAGTTTTCTAGTTTCAGTTTTTCTTCAGATGCACTCAAATGGATGTAATCAATCAATCAATCAATTAAATCTCTCCCAGGATGTCAGAGTACAGAATCATCAATCAGCAGACCTCTGGTTGTCCACAGATGTCCCAAAAGGATATGGCCTGGGCCCATTACTATTTACATTATGTTTACATTACATTATGATGACACTGTAATTTATTTACATGGAAGCAGTATGACACAAGTTGAGCCCACACTTTCCTTCAAAGCTTAGGTGAACAGGGTCATATTTAGTCTTTCAAATTGTAGGTTATTCGAGATTACATGTCAGCAGACCTTTCCCACATCACTTAGCAATCAGTAATCTAAAACCATTACAGTCTTTGTACCAACAAACACTTAGTTCTCCAAGTTCTCCACAACAAAAGTCTAAGTTTCCATCATTGCCCAATAATAAAAATAAAAAACTTGCTGAGTTGGGAAAACATGTCACATGGACAAGATTATGTTTGGCTTTACCTCTCCACTCATATAATAAGAACAACTGTGGTTCATAAGAGGTTCAGCAAATTGGGATTGCATTATCTAACTCAGAAAAAGTTCTTTAAAGCTTTAAAGCTGCACTAGAATGTGCTCCATCCCAGGCACTATTAGAGAACTGGACACAAAGGGCATATTTAAAGTTTGTTTAAAGAAATGGTTAATTAGTACTCAGCTTTTTCAGCACTAAAACTACAATGTTATGTTAGTCTGTCTGGGCGGGACTTCCCTTGCTTTTGTCATCACCAGTCTGCCCTTATGTGCCCTCATGCATGTTTTAGTTTTTTTTTTTGTGGTTTTGTTTTTATTGTGTTAGATTGATGTATACTGTGCATGCTTTGTTTCTGCTTTATATGTTTCAGTTAGTGTTGATTCAACAATATTGTCTTACATAGTCCATATTACTACCAATATAAGTCATTTTATTCATTTTTGTATGTGCTCTTGCATTATGAACCTCTGTGTTACATGTCTTTAATAGTACCTGAAGTATAAGGGTGTCCAGAAGGATGCTTCTAGCAATAATATTTTCTTCTTTTTATCATTGTTTTGCTTATAAATGATTTGAATGACTTTGTAATTTCAGACTTATGATCTGTTTTTTTTAACAACATCTGTCCTGGGACTGCAGATGAAAATTAGCCTCTTAGCTCTGGTGCATTTAGATCTTTTATTAATATGCACTGTTCCTGCTAAATAAACCGGAATACTTCTCCTACTGAATAAGACATTTTACATATTACAAGAGTCTTACATTTAAAGGAAACTGTTTGTTGGCCTTCTGTGGATTCAGTGACTGTATCGTCTGTATGCCCACATTAGCAGAAACCCACAGGAACATTCAAACCCTAACTACACAGTCTGTACAATAAAGAACATTCATGTCTAAGAAATTATTTCCCAGACTCAAGAGTGATGTAAGTAGTACTTCCTTCCACTCACCAGAAAGGTGGCTCATGTGGCCAACCCTGCTCTACACACAAAGTGGTTTGTCTAAGTAACCTGATATTAAGCACAACATTAGTTCAGGCAGGCCACGAAGTCAAGCTCTAAGCTGATCGTAAACATCAGCTCATGGTTCAACTGATTCCCTCTGAGGCTTCCTATTGGAAAACTACATACAATCAAAAAATGCAGTCAGCTGTAAGGTTCTGTGGACATGAAGCAAACTATATTATGTTGTGTTATGCCATGTTTAATTTTAAAGGCTTATAGTATAATATTTTATGTTAAATGATGTTAATCCTCATGCAGGCTGGTATAAATGGGCTAACAGGGCTAAGCCCCCGCTATCTTTTACAGTAAAGATGAAAAACTATTATTAAAAACCGATGAACATATTGTTTTGAATTCTGGTAAAACCTAGAGCAGCAACAGCACCAAACAGTGACAGAAAAAAACCCAGGATATATGATATATCTTGGGTTTTTCCTGTAAATGGGCTAATTTTTTACAGCCCAAGCACATTAGCGTAAGCTTCCATTGACTTTTGATGGGTTTTGACAGGTGTTGCTTCCCATTTGGGCTGAATAAATTTAGCCCAAATGGGCAGCATATGAGGGTGGCGTGTGAGGCCAAAATTAGGAAACATGAATGGAGCACCACGAGCCACATTGGAAATAGTTAAGTTCTAATTGCTGGGTAAAGTGAACATCGCCTGTCATCTGAATGAGGGCCACCCATCGCTGTACAGAGACACAAAGAGCTGGTAAAGAAAACCAGGCATTCACTATCACGGATTGTGGACTGTATTACATTTCGTTCTCTATATCTGAACTGCTGACCACAGATGACAACCAGCCACATCCAGATGCGGACACAGCTGCAGCCGTTGCAAGCTGGACATTGCATGTGAACATTACACAATGATCTGCGGGGAGAAACTGAAAGGTGAGCTGATGGTGATGTACAGCAGTGTACAATTTGCGGGCCTAACGTCCGCAATGTCACTTTTGAGGATGCTGACTGAGAACAATCTTCAGAACACTTTTTCTGAAACACTGAAAGTAACGCAAATAGCCATCACAACCCCCATGACATCTGCAGAGTCAGAGAGGTGTTTCAGTACACTGAAGAGGATCCTTTCTTCGGAGTATAATGGGACAGGACAGGCTAAACGCACTGGCTATGCTGTCCATTGAGCGGGACTTCATCCAAAAATCAGCAGACTTTAATGACATGGTGATTAACCTGTTTGCATCACAGAAAGGCCGTCGATGTGAGCTGCTTTTTAAGTAAGGTATGCCCAAGCTCTGAAACAACTCTCTCTTCTACAAATACTGTTATTTTTGCTTTGGTTTTGTAGATTTATGTTTGGTACATGGTGTAGCAAAATGTTGCTGGTACTTTTCTAGTATGTTGTTGTAGCGCTGATGTGTACAGAGGAGAGAGAGAGAGAGAGAGAGAGAGAGAGAGAGAGAGAGAGAGAGAGAGAGAGATTTTTTTGCATCAGGCCATTCTTTTGGG